CCTATGGGGGTGTGTCAAACTTATATCTGCTATGGTCTAATTAGGCTGTAGTGGGGTAGCTCTTAGAGGGTACAACACTTATGTGTTTCCTACTTGTACCCATCTCATTTTCTAGTTTATCTCATTCTTTCGTCAATCCTTCTCACACCAACAGCACATTCCCCAGCCCCACAAGCGCCCCATTGGCTCCCATTATCTTGGCATTCCCAACACCAATCACAGGGAGCAAAGCACCTGAAGCGGCAGCCACAAACTTAATCTTTCCGGGGGGCTTTACCTCGTCAAGAAAATCTGCTCGTGGGGTCATGTGACTTGTGCAACCTGAATCTATCACCCAGTGAGTGAGGGGGTGCATCACAACCTTCCCAACTGAGCCCACATCACCCTCACTCCCTTTCACATCCTCAACCATGAGGAACATCCCAGGGTTGGCTTTACCTTGTGCACCTGAACCTTGTGCACCTGAACCTTGCACAGCGCCACCTCGTGCACGTTCACCACTTCGTGGCTTCATGCCTGGAGGCGCCCATCCCTCAGGCCGGCTGAAACACTTAAACCACGGGTGTCCAGCCTTCTTGCAGTACCAGCACGCTCCCTCCATTCGGGTACTCCCCCTGCCACCAGAGCTCCCATGCCCCTCGTTATAGTCACCTCGGCCTCTCCCTCTGCCAAAGCCTCTCCCACGGCCTCGGCCTCTCCCTCCCCCTCTTCCTCTACTGCCTCCTGCAGCTCCATACCCATCAGCAGTTTTGTTGGCAGCACCACCACCCGTGTGGCGCCTGCGGAAGTCCTCCTGCAGAATCTGCTGCCGTAGCCACTCTGGTGTCCATTGGTCCTGCTGAGTGTTGAGGGTGGGGATGAGGTTGTCCCACGAGTTGTCGAGCACCGAGATGATCTTGGTACACTGCTGCATCCGCGACACATTGCTGCCCGCTGCTGCCATCCTCGCATAGGTGTCCTTGATCTTGTCAAGGACCGGCTTCACATCATCGCCGGGTCGCATGGAGAGGGCAGCCAGCTCCTTCTCCAATCACCATCGGCAGCGTGTTGGGCTGAATCACGTCGCGCAGTAGCTTCCACGCCTTTGGTCCGGAATCATCCAACTCCACCAAATCCTTGATGTGTTGGAACATATCGTTGTTGACCGATTGGAGGATTAGGTTGTACAGCACCGCACTCTTCTCAATCCACCGATCGCGGGCATCTCCTTCCTCCGGCATCTTCTCTTCACCCATCGCAAGTTTCAGCAGCTTGTAGCGCTTGAATGCACTCCGCATCCGCCCGCTCCATTCCTCATAGTTTGAGCCATCCAATGCCTCGATCTTGGATGGTGGTGGCTCATTTCTCTTCTCAGCTGCATCTCCACTCCCTTGACTCATTTCCTCTGCTCCCAAACACAGGTTCCAGCTCCCCCTTTGCTGTCCACACCGAAGTCCCACTCAATTTCCACAAGTGTCGGCGCCAACGAAATTTCGGCAGAGTTTCCCCTTAGCGGAAGTCACATGCAACCTCCAGAACTCCACTTAGGCACGCCCACAGGCCATGGTGGGTCTAGGAGGGTCTTCACACTTCAGTAGACTCTCCACAAAGTCCTTAATCAGCTCTGATACCACTTGTTAGAGACTAAGGACGGAGTCTATGAAGATTAGGGGCTGAAATATCTCAAAATCGTCAACTACAATTCTGGACAGAAAAGTCGTCGTCACAAGAAACGTCGTCAACGATTAACGCACCGTTAGAATTCTCTCAAACTCGGCCCCGCCCCTCGGCCCCTTGGCCCCTTGGCCCCTAGGCCCCTTGGCCCCCCTCGTGTTTGGCCCCTCGGCCCCTAGGCCCCTCGGCCCCAGGCACCTCTGCCCCTTGGCCCCCCGGCCCCTAGGCCCCTCGGCCCCGCCCCTCGGCCCCTCGGCCCCTTGGCCTCAGGTACCTCGGCCCCTTGGCCCCTCGGCCCTTAGCCCCCCCCCCCCCCCCCCCTCCCCCCCCCCCTCGTGTTTGGCCCCTCGGCCCCGCCCCTCGGCCCCTCGGCCCCTAGGCCCCAGGCCCCTCGGCCCCTTGGCCACTGCTACTGCTACTGCTACTGCTGCTACTGCTACTGCTGCTACTACTACTACTGCTGCTCCTAAGTGCTGCGCCACTATGGCTTCGCTTCGAGTTCTGGCGTTCGATCGTAAGGGCAGACCGGTTGCATTTGACACGTGGCTCGATGATCTGCAGCTGTACCTACTGAGCGATACTAAGGACAGTGTCTCGCTGTTTGACCACGTGTCCGGTGCCGCTACAGCCCCTCCCGCCAGAGCTGACAGTGCGACTCTCTCACAGTGGCTTTCTCGCGACGCAGCTACCCGCTTAGCCATTCGCAACCACCTGCCGGTGGCCGAATGTACTCACTTTGGACAGCACAGGATAGCACAGGCCCTGTACGACGCTGTAGTTGCTCGCTACTCCTCGCCTGCCACTGCTGCTCTAGGCCGACTGCTACTACCCTACCTGTTCCCCGAGCTGTCGGCTTTTGCCACAATAGCGGACCTGGTTTCCCACCTGTGCACTAGCGACGCTCGCTACCGTGCTACGGTTCCTGCTGAGTTCCTTGACAGGAACCCACCCCCGATATTCATCACCCTCTACTTCATAGTCACTCGCCTCCCTGACTCTCTTCGCTCCGTCAGGGACCACTTTCTCACTCTTGACCCCACCTCCCTCACTATTGACCTTCTCGAGCAGCATCTCCTCGCAGCTGAGACTAGTGCAGTTGCTGTAGGTGCTGCTCGTGGCACTCCGCTCCCTCCCTTCTTTGAGGGGTGCTCCTCCTCCCCCCTTGCCCCCTCCTTCGCCTCTGCTGCTGCTGCAGACGTCTCTGTTGCTGAGGACGTTGGGGCTGCTTCTGCTAGTGCGAAGCGCCGCAGCAGCAAGGGCAAGGGTGGCAGGGGTGGTGGAGGTGGCAGCGGTGGTGGTGGAGGTGGCACAGAGCGATGGTGGGGGCAGCAGTGGAGGTGGTGGAGGCAGTGGAGGTGGTGGCGGCGGTGGGACTGGTGGCGGGAGTGGGGGCTCTGGTGGTGGCGGTGGAGGCAGCGGAGGGAGTGGCGGCAGTGGAGGTGGTGGGACTGGTGGTGGTAGGTCTGGACCTCGGCGTGGAGGCCCAGGTGGTGGTCAGCGGCAGCAGCAGCAGCGTCGGAGCGAGACCCAGTCGCCCCAGCAGCTCCGTGAGTGGTTGTTTCAGCGTGGGACGGGTGGGGGTAGTGAGAGCTGCCCGTATGTCATTCGCACGGGTGTCTGTGCTGGCCAGAATGACATGCGGGCAGCTCCCGCTGGCCACTATGACATCATATGGGATGTCATTCTGCCAGAATGTCATACGGGCAGCACGGACACCCGTATCTAGACTATGATGCTATTATTTCTGCTATGTATGCTTTGTCTGCTAGTGCTGAGGGTGACTGTTACCGGTGTGTGCCACCTGACCCCAGGTATAGCGGCTGCTGCTCTAGGTGCTAGTGAGTCTTGTACTCCCCCTGGTACTGCGCCTGCTAATGTCAGAATGTATTTGTTGTTTAGCCTGCAGTGGGGTACTCTGTAGTGAGTACAACCCAATTTAGGGTTTGCTATTTGTATCCCAACTTTCTATAGTGAAACCCCTCATTCTCCTTTTCATTCCTCTCGACATTCTCCTTCCAATTCTCTCGACACTCACTAGCCATGGCTCCTAAGTCACGCTAGTATTCTAACATGGTATTAAGAGAAATAGTTCCTAGGACCTCACATCAATGGGCCCACCACCTAATGCCCTGCTAGCCTAGGCCCCGGCCCGTCGCCCCTTGGCGTCGCCCCTAGCCCCTAGGCTCGGCCCCTTGGCCCCGTCGCCCCTAGCTCGGCCCCTCGGCCCCGCTGGCCCCGTCGATTCCGTCGCCCGCGCCCGGCCCGTACCTAGCCCGCGATCGGCCCGTACTTAGCCCGCGATCGGCCCGTACCTAGCCCGCGATCGGCCCGTACCTAGCCTCGCGCCCGGCCTCCGTTCCGCGCCCAACGCCCGGCCCTGTCCCTAGCCCGCGCCCGGCCCGTACCAAGCCCGCGGCTGGCCCCGTCCTTCGCCCAGCGCCCGGCCCGTACCTAGCCCGCGCCCGGCCCGTACTTAGCCCGCGACCGGCCCGTACCTAGCCCGTCGCCCGGCCTCGTCCCTAGCCCAGCGCCCGGCCCAGTACCTAGCCCGCGCCTGGCCCCGTACCTGCCCAGCGCCCGGCCACGTACCTGCCCAGCGCCCGGCCCCGTCCCTTGCCCAGCGCCCGGCCCCGTACCTAGCCTCGCGCCCGGCCTCCGTTCCGCGCCCAACGACCGGCCCCGTACCTAGCCCGCGCCCGGCCCAGTACCTAGCCCGCGCCCGGCCCCGTACCTAGCCCCGCGCCCGGCCCCATTCCGCGCCCAACACCCGGCCCCGTACCTGCCCAGCGCCCGGCCCCGTACCTGCCCAGCACCCGGCCCCGTCCCTAGCCCAGCGCCAGGCCCCGTACCTAGCCGCGCCCCTCGGCCCCACTGGCCTCGTCGCCCCTAGCTATGACAAGAGGGGTGCTGACTTCCTGCCCGCGTGCCCTGCAGTTGCACGCGCAGCTCCGCCCCCGCCCCCCTCCCCCCCCTCCCCCTCCTCCATGGGGACGGGGGGGAGAGGGTGTGAGGGGGTGGCGGATGTGCCTCAGCAGCAGCAGCTGCCGCCGCGCCTCCTCCTCTATCTCTCCCTGCCGCACCTTGTGTTGGGAGAGGGGGGGGAGCTTGGAGGTTCAGAGGGAGGCAGGAGGGGATCTGGAGCACCAGCCCCCCCCGCCCCCCCCTTTCTCCTCCACCCCTGCTACGGGTGCAGCAGTGGGGGGGAGGGGATCTGCAGCAGCAGTGCGGGGAGGGGATTTGCAGCATCAGCCCCCCCCCCCCCCCCCTCCCCCCCCCCCTCCGCCCTTTTCTCCTCTCTCTCTCTCCCTGCCGCACCCTATGTTGGGAGGGGGGGGGAGCTTGGAGGTTCAGAGGGAGGCAGGAGGGGATCTGCAGCACCAGCCCCCCCCGCCCCCCCCTTTCTCCTCCACCCCTGCTGCGGGTGCAGCAGTGGGGGGAGGGGATCTGCAGCAGCAGTGGGGGGAGGGGATTTGCAGCATCAGCCCCCCCCCCCCCCCGCCCTTTTCTCCTCTCTCTCTCCCTGCCGCACCCTGTGTTGGGAAGGGGGGGGAGCTTGGAGGTTCAGGGGGAGGCAGGAGGGATCTGCAGCACCAGACCCCCCCAGCCCCCCCCCCCCCCCCTCCCCCCCCCCCCCACTTCTCCTCCATCCCCCTGCTGCGGGTGCAGCAGTGGAGGGGAGGGGATCTGCAGCAGCAGTGGGGGGGAGGGGAGTTGCAGCATCAGCCCCCCCCCCCCCCCCCCCCCCAGCCCCCCGCCCCCCCCCACTTCTCCTCCATCCCCCAGCTGCGGGTGCAGCGGTGGGGGGGAGGGGATCTGTAGCCCTGTGCTGCCCTGCAGCCCTGCGCGCCCTGCTGTCCTGCTGCCCTGCGCGCCATGCGCGCCCTGCAGCCCTGCGCGCCCCGCGCGCCCTGCTGCCCTGCAGCCCTGTGCGCCCTGCTGCCCTGCTGCTGCCGCTACAGCCCTTGCTGTTGCCGCTACAGCCCTTGCTGCTGCCCTGCGCGCCCCGCGCGCCCTGCAGCCCTGCTGCGCCCTGCGCGCCCTGCTGCCCTGCTGCCCTGTGCGCCCCGCGCGCCCTGCAGCCCTGCGCGCCCTGCGCGCCCTGCTGTCCTGCTGCCCTGCGCGCCCTGCACGCACTGCAGCCCTGCGCGCCCCGCGCGCCCTGCTGCCCTGCAGCCCTGTGCGCCCTGCTGCCCTGTTTGCCCCGCGCGCCCTGCTGCCCTGCAGCCCTGTGCGCCCTGCTGCCCTGCTGCCCTGTGCGCCCCGCGCGCCCTGCAGCCCTGTGCGCCCCGCGCGCCCTGCAGCCCTGCGCGCCCCGCGCGCCCTGCTGCCCTGCAGCCCTGTGCGCCCTGCTGCCCTGCTGCTGCCGCTACAGCCCTTGCTGTTGCCGCTACAGCCCTTGCTGCTGCCCTGCGCGCCCCGCGCGCCCTGCAGCCCTGCTGCGCCCCGTGCGCCCTGCAGCCCTGCGCGCCCTGCGTGCCCTGCTGTCCTGCTGCCCTGCGCGCCCTGCGCGCACTGCAGCCCTGCGCGCCCTGCGCGCACTGCAGCCCTGCGCGCCCCGCGCGCCCTGCTGCCCTGCAGCCCTGTGCGCCCTGCTGCCCTGTTTGCCCCGCGCGCCCTGCTGCCCTGCAGCCCTGTGCGCCCTGTAGCCCTGCTGCCCTGTGCGCCCCGCGCGCCCTGCAGCCCTGTTCGCCTCGCGCGCCCTGCTGCCCTCAGCACGCGCCATGCACAGCCCCCCCCCCCCCCCCCCCCCCCTCCCTTCTCCTACCTCCCCCTGCTGCGGGTGCAGCAGTGGGGGGGAGGGGATCTAAAGCACCAGCCCCCCCCCCCCCCGCCTCCCCCCCTTCTCCTCAATCCCCTGCTGCAGGTGCAGCAGTGGGGGGAGGGTATGGGGGTGGCGGGTGTGGGTGCAACTGCGGGGTGGAGGGTATGGGGGTGGCGGGTGTGTGAACCGTCCCCTGCTCCTCCTCCTCCTCTGTCTCCCACTGCTGCAGCTGCCGCTGAGGGGGGTGGGTGTGTGGGAGCCGAGGGAGTGGTGCTAGGGGGGTGATGTGGGAGTGGAGCTAGGGGTGCAGCAAGGGGTGTGTGAAAGGGGGGTGGGACAGTTGGGGGAGGTTGAGCGGAGGCTGCCGTCTTGTCGTCCGCAGCACCTGTAGTCCGGGGCTCTGCTTCTGGTAGCTCAGAGAGCATGCTGCGCCTGTCGCCTGTGGGTCCGTTGCTCCTGCCGCTCAGAGTTAGCCGCAGAGCCAGTTACTCCTGTAGTCCGGGGATACGGCTCCGGTAGCCACAATGCGCGCCGCTCCTGTTGCCCGTGTGTCTGCAGCATCAGCCGTCGCCTCCTATCTACTCTCCTCTTACAGTCCAGCCTCCTCCTCACTTGCCCTTTGTGAATGCCTCTATCTTTGCTTGTACTTGTGAACCTGCTCTATGACTGCTTGCTCGGCTGATTATACCCCACTTTGACTATGGGGGTGTGTTAGAATGTATTTGCTGTTTAGCCTGCAGTGGGGTACTCTGTAGTGAGTACAACCCAATTTAGGGTTTGCTATTTGTATCCCAACTTTCTATAGTGAAACCCCTCTTTCTCCTTTTCATTCCTCTCGACATTCTCCTTCCTGTTCTCTCGACACTCACTAGCCATGGCTCCTAAGTCACGCAAGTATTCTAACAGCTGAGGCCTTGCACACCTTCACGTTGGACTCAGGCGCCTCGCGCTGTTTCTTTCATGAAAGCACCACTCTCACTCCTCTCCCTGCACGTGTCCCGGTCAGACTGGCTGACCCCTCTGGGGGCCCGGTCGTTGCTCGTTCCTCCACTGTCCTCCCGTGTCCGGCGGTTCCGTCCGGCTCACTGTCAGGTCTTCACCTCCCCTCGTTCTCTACTAACTTGGTGAGTACCGCTGCCCTCCAGGATGCGACGGTCACTACCACCACTCCTGGGGGTCAGCGTGTGTCGATCTGCACGTGCACACGGACGGGGCGTCACCTGGCTACGTTCGCTCGTCGGCCAGGGTCGAGTCTGTACACACTGGCTACCGAGACTTCTCAGTTAGCTACGTCTGCTAAGGTGTCCGCGTCAGGTCAGGTAGCCGCCTCTTGCTCGTGTCGCCTCCTGTCGCACCAGACTCTTCTGTGGCACCGCCGCCTGGGTCACCCCTCCCTGCCATGCCTTCGTGGCATGCACTCCCGTCTTCTAGACTCTGGTCTACCCAGGTCTCTGCCTCCCCTCCCGCCCTCGCCTGCCCCACCCTGCCTTCCTTGCGTCGAGAGACGGCAGCGCGCCGCTCCTCACTCCTCCTCGTTTCCCCCGACGACTGCTCCCCTGCAGACTCTCCACATAGACGTGTGGGGCCTAGCCCGCGTCAGTGGGCAGGGCCTCGAGCGCTAATTTCAGCTGGTGGTTGACGACTACACGCGTTACACCATGGTATTCCCCTTGCGCAGCAAGGAACAGGTCGTTGATGTCTTGATCCCTTGGATCTGCGCAGTCCGTCTCCAGCTCCGCGAGCGGTTCCGTGCGGACCTTCCTGACCTGCGTCTGCACTATGACAGAGGTGGTAAGTTCTCCTCCAACCTCTTGCGGGACTTTTGTCGTGGGGAGGGCATTCTCTAGTCGTTCACGCTTTCGGACTCCCCTCAGCAAAATGGGATTGCTGAGCGCCGCATTGGCTTAGTCATGGAGGTCGCTCTAACCTCCATGATCCATGCGGCTGCTCCCCGTTTTCTGTGGCCGTTTGTGGTCCAGTACGCTGCACATCAGCTCAACCTCTGGCCCTGTGTCTCCTTGCCGGAGACCTCGCCCACACTGCGTTGGACGGGGAAGGTTGGCGATGCGTCGGTGTTCCGGGTCTGGGGTTCTCGTGCCTTTGTTCGCGATACGTCTGCGGACAAGCTCTCCGCCCACGCCATTCCCTGCGTCTTCCTTGGCTTTGTCCCTGACGCGCCTGGCTGGCAGTTTTACCACCCTACCTCGCGCCGTGTCCTCCCCTCTCAGGACGTCACGTTCGACGAGTCGGTTCCCTTCTACCATCTCTTCCCCTACCGCTCTGCCCCTCCCCCGCCCCCGCCGCTCTTCCTTGCTCCCGGTCCACCTCTAGTAGACCCCCTCCTGCCCCAGGGTCCTGCTCCCTCAGGTTTGTCTCAGGTAGACCCTCTCCCTGGTACTGCACCTGCTCAGGTAGCTGTCGGCTCAGGTGCTGCTCCAGGTGCTACGTCTGGGGGTGCTGCGCCTGGGGGTGCGGAGCCAGGGGGTGCGGGGTCTGAGGGTGCTGGGTTTGGGGGTGCTGAGCCTGGGGGTGCGGAGTCTGGGGGTGTTGAGCCTGCGGGGATTGAGCCTGGGGATGTTGAGCCTGCGGGTGCTGAGTCGGAGAGTGCAGAGTCTGGGGGTGCTGAGCCTCGGGGTGCTGCTTCGTCTGGAGGTCCTGCTGATGCTTCGCCGTGCCTCTCTCTGCAGCAGCTGCGTGAGTGGCTTGTTCGGAGAGCGCGCCTTCGGAGTGGAGCTAACGGAGCTGGAGGTGCTGGAGACACTGGAGCTGGAGGTGCTGGAGTTACTACTGGAGCTGGTGGTACTGGACGTACTGCAGCTGCTGGTCCTGGAGGTGCTGGAGCTGCCGGGACTGGTGGTGTTGGGGGCACTGGAGCTGAAGACCCTACGGAGCCTGGAGCTGCTGGAGCTGGAGGCTCTTGCGCTGGGTGAGCTGGCGCTGGAGGCGCTGGAGCTAGAGGAGCTGGATTTGGAGGCACTGGCGCGGGAGGCGCTGGAGCTGCACGAGCTGGAGCTGTTGACCCTGGGGCTGGAGGTGCAGGAGGCACTGTGCGGCAGCGACCGTACTTCGTTCCTCCGCTTCAGCAGGTTCTTGGTGTCGTGTATTCTACTGGCCTTACTCCTCCCTTCCTGTGTCCACCAACTGACCAGTTGCAGCCGCTGTTACAGCCAGCCTCCCCACTGCCTGCTCCATTTGTTACACTTAGCAGTCCGGCGTTCTTACAGAGCGTTGTGAGCCTGCGTCTCGTCCTGTCTCGCCTATTCGCACTGCTCGCTGCGCTCCTCGTTCGCGTCCTCCTCCTGTCCCCAGCTCGCACGCTATGGCACTCCGTCCTTCCTCTGTTCCACTGCGTGTTCCTCTGCCTGCTCCTCCTGAGTCCTCTCTTCCTGAGGTCCCTGACCCTGAGTCTGACCGCGCTTGTGCTGCCAGTCCTACAGTCTCTCGTCTCCTCGCCACTATTGTCACTGACCCTTCTTTTGAGTCCACTGCTGCGTCTGCCCTCGTTGCTGACCTGCTTGACTTTGCTGCTGTCTATCGTCTAGAATACGCCACTGCTCTTGTTGCTGAGTCTGAGTCTGCCAGTCCCACTGTCTCTCGTCTCCTCGCCACTGTTTTCACTGACCCTTCTTTTGAGTCTGCTGCTGCGTCTGCTCTCGTTGCTGAGCTGCTTGACTTTGCTGCTGCCTGCCGTCTAGACTACGCCACTGCTCTAGTTGCTGAGTCTGCGTCTGCCAATCCTCCGTCCGTCGGGGGTGAGTGTGCTCTTGG